ATTGATAACCACAACTCTGATGATACTATGAACGAAATACTATAAACTAAAAGTATTTTATGACCATGTCTTAAAGCAATTTCACATATTTTATGGTGAGAAAATAATATGCTTTAGAAGACCTATAACCTAGTATTACCTTTCATCCAAAGAACTCTTTGGCTAAAGCTTTTAATAAAATCACAAAACTTTAATTCACACATGCTCTGTTCACAAGACAAGCTTCAGTTTAATGACAAAACTTACCATGAGGAATATCATCAGAATAAAGGTTTTTGTATACATCCATAGCAAAGTCTACCATGTTGGTATCACTAAGAAGATCCAATTTTCCTTGTAATAATTCTTTTTCATTATAAATCTGCAAGTGAAAATTACTTATTAATAAGTACACTGAAGTTCCTCCAAACAAAATGATTAATACCAAGATAAGTTTACCTGGAAATATACTTCCTGAAATACATTTTTTTAAATAAAATATTACATACTATTAATTCACCCTATTAGAAGACAACCTACAGAAACATAATAATATTCTATATACCTAATAACTTAAAAATGAAGGCAACTGAACACTGCAGATCCATTCCCACCTAATTCTAATTCTCTTATTTTTTATGTGTCCCTATAAACCACCTTTTATCCGTTCTAGAACAAGACTATGCCTAAATAAACAACCACACCAACTCCAAAGGTAGGCACATATAGTTGTCTCTTCTCCACATTCAGGTAATTAGAACTTTAACCATTAAATTGATTTAACATTTTAGTATCTCAACATCCACATGATGTTTTCCCATCTCTATTTAAAGTAGCCTCTCCTTTATTCCCACATATTTTTTCACTAGTTATAGTCCTTCATAATGCTTCCCCACCCATATCACTGAAACATAATTAGCATCCAATTCTCTAAGTCAACCATGTCGTATCAGTTTTTGCTTTGCAGAGAGTTCAAGAAATATAATTTAACCCATACTACAGGGACCAAATAAGCAAACTCTCATAAACATGAAATTAAGTGTATTAAGCAATATTTGGAGATTCTAACAATAGCATTCAGGGGAAGAGAAAGTAATAAAAATAAAATTTTAATTAAACAGTCATCAACATAAGGCTTCAGCAAAAGAAGAGGTTTTTATACTAAATTTAATTTTGCCAAGGGAGGTGGGAGGCAGGGACGATGCGGGAAGGCTCCCACATTTTACACCATGAAAAGAAAAGATGAAACTGGTCAAATGGTATAGCCATGAGATCAAAACTGAACCTTACAAACCACATAAAGAACTTCTACAAAAGCCCTAGCTGGTTTGGCTCAGTGGATTGAGCATCGGCATGGGGACTGAAGGGTTCCAAGTTCGATTCCGGTCAAGGGCACATCCCAGGTTGCGGGCTTGATCCCCAGTAGGGAGCATGCAGGAAGCAGCCGTTCAATGGTTCTCTCTCATCATTGATGTTTCTATCTCTCTCTCCCTCTCCCGTCCTCTCTGAAATCAATAAAAATATATTTTTAAAAAAAGAACTACAAAATAGAGAGGATCCAATTGAAAATGGCTAAAAGATTAATATGCCTATATCAATAAAACTTAACCAAATACCCAAAAGACATTAGAAAGGTTCTAAACTTAATCATAAAAGGAAATGCAAACTAAAACCACACTAAAAACTAAAACACTTGATGCCAGTCTTGGTATAGATGTAGAGCAGGGATGGGGAACGTCTGGCCCATGGGCCATATAAGGCCTGAGTAATCATTTGGTCTGGCCCTGCCAAGGCATTAGGGGTGAGTTATTTAAATGTTTGACCAAATATAGCAGGCTTATTTTTAAGTTCATAATTTTGTACGGCCCTCGAATGATGTTATAAATAACCAAATGGGCCGTGGCAGAAAAAAGGTTCCCTACTCCTGATGTAGAGTCACAAACATTTATTCTGATGGCAGGTGTACAACCACTTTGGAAAGCTATCTTTATCTCCTAAAGTTAAACATATATTTTGACCCAGCAATTCTGCTCCTAGGTTCCCAAGAGAAATAGCATTTCCAGTAACGATCATAGCAACACTATTTGTAACAGCCAAGTCTATCAACGTTAGACTGAATAAAGTATGATCTACCTATCTCTATCTATAAAAGGCTAATATGCAAAGTGTCCCCTTGGGAGTTTGATCACCCACTATGACGTGCACTGACCACCAGGGGGTGGCACGGAATGAAAGAAGGCCCCGGTCGGCAGCCGGAAGACTCTGATTGGCCCTGATCACCGGTCAGGCCTAGGGACCCTACCCGTGCACAAATTTCGTGCACCCGGCCTCTAGTACACACATAAAAGGACTTACATTCAGCACTGAAAACAACAAACTACTGCCATTCTAAAACTTGGATGACCTTCACAATGTTGAATGAAAAGAAGTCACACAAAGCAGTGTGAGAGGGTGAATGCTTAATTCCATTTATATAAAATCAAAACCTGCCCTAGCTGGTGCATCTAAGTGGTTAGAGCATTGGCCTGCAGACTGAAAGGTCCTGGGTTCGATTACAGTCAAGGGTAGGTATGGACCTTGTAGGCTCGATTGGGGCACCTGTGGGAAGCAACCAATCGATGTGTCTCTCTCATATGGATATTTCTCTCTGTGTCTCTTCCCCCTCCCTAGCACTCTCTCTAATATCCACGGGTGAGGATTAACAGAGGGGGGGGGGGGGGGGGGCACACAGAAGACACAAATATGTATTTATTTACTCATTTATTAAATAATCATTCAAAGCCTTTATTCCAGACTTTATTTTATGTGCTGAGAACAGAGCAAAGAACAAAACAAAGTTCCTGCTCTCTCCAAGCTTATATTCTCCAACATTTCAAATTGTCCTCCTGTATCCTGGTCACTGACTCTCCCAACCACCTATCTTTCAAAACTCAACTTAAAGCCTCTCTTCCTCAAAGTCCTTATGCCAGATTAGAATCTCCTCAATTTGATAGCACTCTGCCAGTACTTTTTTGACACATTACTTTTTGCCTTATACTTAATAGACCTTCATCTCCTCTAAAAAAGAGGTATGATTTTAGCGGTGAGGTGTCTGGATTTTACCTTGGATTTATCACATTTCCACAGCAGCCCTATACGTACTTAGTAATTGCTCAATAAATACTCCAGCAACCTCTTGGGTGCACTATGGCCATCTCACCAGCATTCTCTCCAAGGAAGAAAGTACTGAGCCCAGTTATTTTGCACCGATTCTCAGCCGCCATTTATAGTTTTTGTTTTGCCCTATGATATACTAATTTCCGCTGACACATTCCTCCCTTTTATCTGCCTTGGGAAATGGAAGTATAAAGAATATATGAAAATGTGAAGTTTGGTTAGTTTAGAAACATTTCTACAAGTAGCTGGCAAAGGATTTCAAAATACGGTTATTTCTCTATTTCTTATCCAGAAAAGAAAACAGAAGGCAGACTGAACTATTATATTCAAGCTTTAAAATACAGGTGGTAAGTACATCCTATGTGAAGAAACACCAAGGCAAAACTATATCCTGTCAAAATAAAGCTTTATGAGGAAAGACATTCTTGAACATTTTTTAAATGAACTGTGTATTTCCTAACATCAGCAACTTCAGAGTTGTCTGTATGTGCTTAGGGAAGGATCATATGAATTTGAGGATTATATGTTTAATGAACCATATATACAAGAAAATTCGAAAAGTTACCAGAACAAATCAATGTTTATTTGTAAGGCTCATTTCGTCTTACTGCTATTGGGGGACAATCTATTTCCCAAATCTGGAGTTCCCTAGATAGACCTATGTTGACATCTGCTTCCAGAAACAGAATTCATTTATCTCTCCGGCCTATATCCTAATGCTTTCATCACAGTAATACTGCCTTATGATCATTGAAATGCATCAATTTCCCAATAAACTCAAAGAATAACCTAAGCTCAATATTTCAAAACTCTTAGGACGGAGGCATTTTTAAAAACCAAGTACCGGGGCCACAGAGCACTTATTCAGTCTATCTGAGTAGCTTAAAGTGAACATCAACCACCGATTCAAACCACTCGAAGAATATGCATCTCTAACTGGGAAAGAACTTTTAGGTTACAACGTGTCGGGTGTGCTTTTTTGGGTGGGAGGGAGCGGGGTCTCCACCCCCATCCGACAAACTGCTGCTTCACTTGGAAGAACTGGCGACGTATCCAACCAAAGGCCGGGAAGACTCAATGCGAAGAACGCACAACTTTATGGCAATCAACGTGCTGGACTTTTCAGCGTAAGAAAATTAATCCACGTGACCCGGCCGGCGAGCAGAACCCTCCCCCCCACAGTTCCCGGAAGGAAATGACCATCTCCAACCCTCCCGTGGACTCGGAGCGGCGGGTCCGAACGGAAGGTCCGGCGGAGCCCGCGGCGCAGCGCTCACTTCCGAAGGGAACTGAGGCGGAAGTGCCGGGCCGGGCACCGCCAGCCGCGCAGCTGACGCCGCTCTCCTCCCCGACTTCCCCAGGGTCGCCTCGCCCCTCCGCTCCTCCGGGCCGCGAGACCGCGGGCCCAGTCCGCCCCGGGGACGCTCAACTCCCAGGAGGTCCTGACTGCCCGGCCGGGACCAAACTCGCGGCCGCCCCACACGTGTGTCAGGCGGGCCCGGGCCGCCGCCCCGCGGGCCTGCCCCGAGCCTTCCGCGCTCCCACAGCGTCCTCGCACCCAAGGCCCCGCTCACCTCCTTGACGGAGAGAAACTCAAGCAACGGGAAGACTAGATGCCGATCCAAAAAGTGAGCGATGCGAGTGGTTAAGTCGTACTCCGCCATCTTGCCAAGGAAAAGGAGAGGCTCAGCCCACAACAACTTTATTGGTAGCGCCGACGCGCAGACAGGCCCCGTGGCGCGCATGCGCAGTGGTTCTACTCACCCCGGCGACGGGGCGGGGTGGACTCCCCGGTGCTCGGAGTCCGAGAGCGCACGCGCGGGGGCTGTGGGCTGCTTAGGGACCAGGCGGATCGGCGGCAAGTTCTGTCTGTTTGAAATGCTGTCAGTGCCCTACGATCCATTCCGTTCATCAATGCTGAAGCCTCAGAATTGCTGAAGCAATGCAGATTGCACTGTGAGGGGGCAGGGGACAAGATAACGAGGACCCCGCTCTCCAGAAAGCCACAGGCAAGGAGGAATATGGGCTTTCATTTGGCAGATGGTAACCGCTTTGTAAGCGTTGGTTAAATTGTTTCTAGATAGAAAACAAGTACGAATGTCAGATTATAGGAAGAGCCATAACTTAGCGGGGATGGTCGGGTTGGGCCCTTCTAATGAGGGGTAGTTAGAGAAAACTCGGGAGGGAATGAAAGTGGTTAGAGAAAACTCAAGGTAACAGTTTACCTGAGAGTGGTGGTAAGACAAGGAAGTGACCCAAATTCGAGCCGGGGTAAAAACATGCCTCATGGAAGGCACAGCAAAAACAAAGGCCATGAGACAGGAAAGGACTTGGTGTGTTTCAAAAACGAATGTCCTGTGCGAGTGAAGAGTGAGGTTAAAGATGGTGAGAAGGGCCAGGTCATGATTAAGGTAAGGACCGTGGGTTTTTTTTTTTATTATTCTAAGTGCCCTGAAGTCTCCTTTGCTAGTTCCTTCTCATCTTTCAGGCCTCTTCATTGTGGAGTGCCTTAGGATCGTACCTCGTACCTATCTAGGCCCTAATAGCATTCACCCAAATGGCTCTAAATGAAATGTACACATTGACAGCTCTCAAAGTATAGCCCCAACACAGACTGTTAGTTAACCATGGACCCACATATAACCAACTGCCTACTTAACATCTCAACATTAACATACCCAAACCAAAACCTCCCCATTTAGCTCAACAAAACCTGTTCCTTTTGCACTCCTCCAACTCAGTGAATGTCAATTCTCTCTGTCCCGGTGCCCAGACCCAAAACCTCGAAGTCATCCTTGACTTTTTCTCTTACACTCTCCACATGGAATCCAACAAATCCTTTGGTTCTCACCTTTAAAGCATATCCAGATCCAATCAATTCAAACCACCTCCAAAGTTAATCCTTAGTCTAAACCAGTGATGGCAAACCTATGACACGTGTCATCTGTGACACGCGAACTCATTTTTTTGGTTGATTTTTCTTTGTTAAATGGCATTTAAATATATAAAATAAATATCAAAAATAGAAGTCTTTGTTTTACTATGGTTGCAAATATCAAAAAATTTCTATATGTGACACGGCACCAGAGTTAAGTTAGGGTTTTTCAAAATGCTGACACGCCGAGCTCAAAAGGTTCGCCATCACTGGTCTAAACCCATCATCATCTCTTGCTTTGATTTTTGGAATGGCCTCTTCACTAATCACTTTGCTTCCCTTTATTTCCTCCTATGGTTTATTCTCCATACAGCAGCAAGAGTAACTTTTTAAAATATATATATTTTTTAAATTTATTTCAGAGAGGAGAGAGAGATAAAAACATCAATGATGAGAGAAAATCATTGATTGGCTGCCTCCTGCCTGCCTCCTACTGGGGATTGAGCCCGCAACCCAAGCATGTGCCCTGACCAGGAATTGAACCCTGAACTCCTGGTTCATAGGCCAGGGCCAGAGTGACTTTTAAATCTCAAATTGTGGCCCTGGACACTGTGGCTCAGTTGATTGCTGGTTGAATTTCCAGATGTTTCTCTCTCTCTCTCTCTCTCTCTCTCTTTCTCTCTCTCTTTCTCTCTCCTTCCTTCCTCTCTTTCTAAAAAATCAATAAACTATTCTTTAAAAAAAAATCAAATTGTGCTCAAAACCTTCCAAACCTTCCAAGCCTTATTATCTCACTGAGAGTAAAAGATATGTCTAATAATGGCCTAAAAAGCCCTAGTTCACCTGGACCCATTACCTCTGTAACTTCATCTTCTCCATCTCTTCCTTTTGCTCACTCTCCCTCAATCCTAAGCAACCACTAATCTACTTTTGGTCTTGGTAGATTTTTCTATTCAGGACTTTCATGTGAGTGGAATCATATAAAATATGGCCTTTTGTGCCTGACTTTTTAAAAAATATTTTTCGATTGACTTCAGAGAGGAAGGGAGAGGGAGAGAGAGATAGAAACATCAATGGTGAGAGAGAATCATTGATTAGCTGCCTCCCGCAGGTCCCCTACTTGGGATTGAGCCCAAAACCCGGGCATGTGCCCTGACCAGGAATCGTGACCTCCTGGTTCATAGGTTGACGCTCAACCACTGAGCAACACTGGCCGGTCTGTCTGTCTTTGTTTACTTAGCTAATGTGATCAAGGTTCATCCAAGTTGCAGTATGTATCAGCACTTCACTCCTTTTTTATGGCCAAATAATATTCCATTTTATGGATATTGTTTACCCACTCATTCATTGATGAACACTTGGGTTGTTTTTACCTTTTGGCTACTAAGAATAATGCTGCTGCAAACATTCATGTACACATTTTTATGTGGACGTATGTTTTCAATTCTCTTGGGTATATACCCAAAGGTGGAATTGCTGGGTTATATAGTAAGTCTATGACTAATTCCTAGAGGAACTCCCAGACTGTACTATAATTTTGCAAGATGTTACCACTGGATGAAAGGGTACACAAGATTTCTCTGTATTGTTTCTTACAATTGCACGTGAATCTGCTATTCCAGAATAAAAGTTTAAATTTAAAAACAATTCCTGGAATTTGGACTTAAGAAGCGGATATCTACTGGTGACTAAAATATGGAGGGGGTGGGAGAAGAATGGCAAAGGAGTATGTATGGGTGCTAATATCAGGCAAATATCAGGAATTCTATTTGAGACAGAATAAGATCCTTATTAGATACTAAGAGGTGATGTATAGTATGAAAATGGAAATACTTGATATAGTTGTTACTACTTACCAAGCTTGTAAACTTGAACACGATGTTTTCAAGGATTTGAGAGTATGGTATGATCTCTCCATTGTGCCAACAATTCTGTGCCATTTACATATTGTTAGGAGAGCAAGGCTGAATTCCCATGAAGCAGAAAATACATGATAGTATAGGCTGCTACACTGTGGGGAATAGTCTTTATAGTATCTAAGAACTGTGAAATGTCATTTGTAATCTCAAATTTTCTGGAATCCCAGGGAATAAAGTTGTAATGTAATATAGATAGGAAAAGAGGGAGTTAAAGAGAGAACTAGCAAGAACTGAGGCTTCCAGTAAAAGTGACCTATGACAGAGGAAGGAGGGAAGCAGGTCAAAGTGTGGAAACTTGCCAAAAAGGATCAGAGAGCCATCTTTAAAAAATCAAAGAGAAATAAGATGTAATTTAATTTGACAAATATTTTTTACTTTTATCATATGAAAAGTACTAAGCTAGATATAAATGGTAATATATTATCACTCAGAGCTAGTCCCTGGCTACAGAAAGTGACAATTACTCATTCATTCTATATAAGTTGAATTCTTACAATGTGCTAAGCACTGTTCTAGGTCCTGGTAATTCACCAGTAAAGAAAAGAAACTTATATTCAAGTGGAAGAAGACAGATTTAAACATATGAACAAATTTATACTTTGTTAGGTGGTGATAAGTGCTATGAAGACCAATATGCAAGTTAAAAATTAGAGAATTGTGGGGAATTTAATATAAGGTGTCCCAAAATTCACGCAAGAAGTAATTTTGATAGAAAACACAGGTTTATAATTAAAAATTGTAAATTTTTTATTGATTCATAAAGTATACAGTACAGGGTTATGTATGGAATAGCACATTGGGTAATAGGCCTCCACGGCTTTGCTGGCACATACGCAAAGCCGTAGTCTTCATTGGTCTTCATTGTCCCTGCTCCTGGGCCATAATTGGTACTTGGTAATGCTTATCAAATTGAAGGGATTGAAATCAAAGGGCAACAGATATTAGAATCTGATTCAATAAACCAAGTAAAATTAGGCTTTTATTTTTTGTTGTTATTGTTGTTAATGCTCACGCAAAATTCAAATCTTGCATGAATTTTGGGACACCCTATATATATATAATTTATATGCCCTAACCGGTTTGGCTCAGTGGATAGAGCGTCGGCCTGTAGACTGAAGGGTCCCAGGTTTGATTCCGGTCAAGGGCATTTACCTTGGTTGCGGGCACGTCCCCGGTGGGGGGTGTGTAGGAGGCAGCTGATAGATGTTTCTCTCTCATTGATGTTTCTAACTCTCTATTCCTCTCCCTTCCTCTCTGTAAAAAATCAATAAAATATATTAAAAAAAATAAAGTGGTCAGGGAAGGCCTCTCTGATAAGGTAGAATTTGAAGAGACCTTAAGAAAGTGAGGGAGCCTATGGCTTTCTAGAGGAGTAAAATTCCCAGGTGAAGCAACATTAAGTGTAAAGGTGCTGAAGCAAAAGTTGATGGAATAGCAAGGAGTTTAGAAATTCAAGAGCTGATTGAACAAGAGGAAGTGTGGTAGAAGATGTGAGAGAGTGGTGGACCAGATAATGTAATGCTTTGTAGGTCATGGTAAGGACTTTGCCTTGTATTCCAAATGAGGTGGGTAGCTATTGGTGGATTTGGGGCAGAGAAGTCACATAATCAAAGTTATGTTTTTAAAAGACCACTTTAAGGAATTGAGGGTAGGGGGTTGGGGAATAAGCATTAACAGATATCAGTTAATAGACTATTGAAATAATTCAAGCAAGAGATGATGGTGGCTTAGTGGTAGTAGTGAAAGAGTTGTGGACAGTAGTGAAATTCTGAGTGTATTTTGAGTAAAGAGCTAGCAAAATTTGCTAATGAATTAGATGAGAAAGAGAAGAGTCAAAGATGATTCTAAGGTGTAGATGAACTGAGAGGCCATTTGCTAAGAAGAGGAAGGATGTGATAGATATATGTTTTAGAGAGGAGAGAAATCAAGAGTTTAGTTTTGGACATAGTATGTTTGGGATGCCTATTAGACATCTAAGTGGAGATATTGATTTGGCAGTGATGCATATGAATCTGGAATTCAAGAAAAAGGTAAGAACTGGAGATAGAAAATTAGATCTTGTCAATGTATTGATGAAATTTATACCCATGGGACTAGATGAGATCAGAGTGTAAATGTGCTGGGAAAAGAGATGAGCAGGGCTAAATCTCAGGCACTTCAGTTTGTAGAGATAGGAACAGTTCAGACCAAGTGAGGAAGCCAGAGAAAGACTGGCCAGTAGATGGAGGAGAGAAGAGGAGGAGCAAGAGAAAGTGGTGTCCTAGACACCAAAGGAGGAAAGTGGTCTAAGCAGCAAGAAGCAATGAACCATGCCAGATGGTGCTGTTAGTTCAAGATGCCTATCAGCTTTAAAATACTCAGTTTATTGTTGACTTTGATAAGAACAGTTTCAGTGAATGGTAGATGAAAGTCTGCTTGGAGTGAGCTTAAAAGATGAGAGGATGCCCTAACCGGTTTGGCTCAGTGGATAGAGCGTCGGCCTGCGGACTCAAGGGTCCCGGGTTCGATTCCGGTCAAGGGCATGTACCTTGGTTGCGGGCGCATACCCAGTGGGGAGTGTGCAGGAGACAGCTGATCGATGTTTCTTTCTCATCGATGTTTCTGACTCTCTATCCCT